AGAGCCTGACTAGCACAGGGCAAAAACTTCTTATGAGGAGTGTCTGGAGAGCAATGGGGAATCCTGGAGTCCATGGGTTAGGTTCTATAGACTCTAGAATCTAGAGGATGACAGAAATTATTTTCTGAGTTTCCTTCTAGTCAGAGTGATCAACAGTCCAACTTCGTCCTGGACTAAGGGGGTTCCCTAGAAGGTGGGACTTTCCAGGCAAACTTGAACGAGTTGGTTATCCTACCTCCAGTATTAGGCTGGATCTCTGCTGGAAACTCCAAGTGGAAGCAAAGCAACTAGAAGTGGCAGGAAGTGGGAAGAGGCAGAAGACCGCCATCCTCTCACCTCCTGGTGGCCAGGGTATCTTGGTAGAGATGAACAGAGCAAGGTAGATGTGGAGCACTTCAGAGACCTCTATGTCCAGGAGCAAATGCAGGGGAGGGCTGAGGGAACACCACCCCTGATGGTCCTGGGACAAACTTTGTAGTGAAGCCTCCCAGAGTAGCATAATTACTGTGTCTGGCTTGTGGTTGGCAACACCCTCCATACACTGGAGTTATTGTACTTGGGGACCTGTCGGCCTCTTGCCACACTGAAGAGAAGCCCTGTGGAACCCTCGTGCTAAGCAGAACGGTCAAGGTGGGTAGAATGTACCAGGAGCATCTGGCTAACTGCTGAATGTTGCAATGCGTGACTGAGCCTCCTTCCTTCACTACACTCCCTAGATTACTGCACCCAGCCCATGCTCTGAATGGCAGAGGCATGTTGATGTTGCCCAGGTTTTTGCCGCCAGCTCAGATCTCTCTCCTAAGCTGAACTCATACATCCAGCTGTGCGCCTAATTGCCACTTTGATGTCTAACAGGCATCTTAAACCAATACAGAGCTCCTGATTGGATGCCCTATTCTAACCCTGTTCCTCTGCATTGATAAGGAAAATAAAGAATGACTACAGGAAATTACAAATCCCAAGTGTTACCAAAGCACTTCATATTTGGAGCCCACCAGGAGGTGGTCTGTTGTTTTTGTATTATATTTTATCGTGGTAAGAACATTTAATATGAAATCTACACTCATCAAATTTTTATTCTTTTTTTTAGGGGAGGGGGCGGGGAAGGCCAGAGGAGGGGTCCCAAGGAGAGGGCTTGGTCTCCATAAGCACCAGCTGGAGAGTGTGCACCTGGGATGGGGGGAGGTGGGGGAGAGATCTCATCAAATTTTTAAATGTATAGTACATTATTGTTGATTACAGGCATGATGTACAACAGATCGCTAGAGCTTTTTCATCTTGACTAAAGCTATCCTTGTTAATTAGTAATTTCTCCCTTCCCCCAGACCCTGGCAACCACCATTCCACTCTATGATGCTATGAACTTGACAAATTTAGATACCTCATTTAAGTAGAATTATGGAGTATTTGTTTTTCTGTGACTGGCTTATTTTACTTATGCATAATGTCCTCAAGGTTCATCCATATATTGCACATTTCAGAATGTCCTGTCTTTTAAAAGCTGGATAATATTCCATTATGTGTATATACCACATTGTTGTTATTAATTCATGTGCTGATGGACGTTTAGATTATTTCCACATTGCAGCGATCATGAACAGTGCTGCAGTGAGCATAGGATTTGGGCTACGACCCAGGTAAGACCTGAAGCCCTCAATGATTTAGTGATGCATATTGATCATAATTTGCCATCAAATGCATCAATGACTCACCTCACACCTTTCATAGTCTTTGTTACTTAATTGGGCAGGAAAGATCAATGGCTATCATTGTACCATTAATAGTAGTTATCATAGTTATTACGTTAAGATGAGCTAAGGTAACATTATAAGAAAACATCCATGTGTGTTATATCACTGCAGGGACTGGCTACTAGACTGTAACTGCACTGAGTATGATTTCCCCTAAGGAAAATCTGTACAGAGTAGCAATATTTCTAAATTTAAACTTTAAGGTATTTTTAGAAGAAGCATGTTATGTATATGCTGAAATTTCCCAAGATTCAGTCTACGTTTCATTATCACTGCTTCCTGTGCCTTCAACATTGCATAAAGAAAAGTATCCCCTCCACTAAGGGACATGAGATAGAGTGGGAACTTATTTTTCAAAATGCACTACCTAGATTGTTGGTAAGACAAGCATTTGTTTTGCATGTTGACATGTTTTCGACAGGCAGTGTTTACCCAACGGGTTGCATCTCCAGGAGTGGAGAGCTCAGGGCTTCCTTAGTGTCAGGAAAAGCTGGAGCTCCTCAGTCCCAGCTTAAAGTAACTCCAGTGCCCGCAAATAAATGATTTGTTCCTCTACTAGAGAAACATTCCACCCGTGGGCTTTGCTTTCTGGTATTTTGGTAACTGTAGTATTTAATTATTAAAGAGGTTAAGATGACTCCGGCCAAGTATATTGAGTCTCCAAAATCTCAACTGTGATGTGATTAAAAGAACATGACCACTCTCATATTCGTCATTTATCCACAGACAGTGAAGAAAGGGTTCTGAAGGGTCAACCTCACAGTAGCACATCATGTGGTTTCCTATTCACAGAGGCACCTATCAATGAAGGGGTGGTCAGTGCAGCTTCCTGGAGGAACTGACCTTTAAGCTGAGACCTGAAGGAAGAGAGGAATGGGCCAGGCAAAAGGAGGCTGGAGGTGGAGGGGAGACAGGCATGGTTAGGCACAGGGAGCAGCCGCCTTAGGGATAGATCTTATTAAGCAGCATTCTTGTCACCTTTCTTCTTCCCTCTTCCTCCTACTCGCCCTTCCTTGCCTCCCCAAAATTAATAAGTAACACTTGTTTCCTTCCTTTGGTTTTCTGAATGCTTTCACATATGTCTCCTATCTTTGTGCCTACAACAATCCCAAGAGCTATGTAGATAGCTCTTATTATCTTAGCTCCATTTTTACAAGTGAGAGCTTAAGTGGCTTGCTCATATCCACACAGCAGGCAGAAAAAAGCCTGAACTCAAACCCAGACGTTCTTACTCTGCACCCCCTGCACATCCACTGAGTGGCAATGGGGAACCCAACTAGGACCCTCGCTGGCCTCCCTCACAGAGTTTTGTGGTGGGATTTCCAAGGCCGAGAGTGGTGGGGGAATGAAGATCTTTTGCCTTTCTGTGTGAATCCAGCAAAAGGAACAGACTCTAAGGAAGCAGAAAGGGCCCTGAGCAGTGCTCCAGTGCATCCTGTGTTTGGGCAGAAACACAGTTAAGGGGCAGCAAACCCACAAAGATCCTGGCCATCTGGCATCATGGAAGACAAATCCCATTTAACAACCCACGGCAAAAGCACGTCTTCCTTGTGCCCTGTTGAATTTTGAAACCCAATAAGTTTTTTTTCCAATTTTCCAAAATTTACAAAATGAGCAGCTTTGAATATGAAACTGACACCTTCCTAATAACATGGTTTTTATTCTTCTCGATATGTTGGTTTGACGGTTTTTTGTTAAAGGCTTGCAAAGCTCTCTTAGTTTGGGTTTCCCTGAGTGCAGGTATGAGCAGTTTGAAAGGAAATCTCAAGAATTAGCAGTAAGAGGGCAAATCAGTGAGACAAAAGGAAGAACAGTTGAAAAGGCTTATTACTGAGCTGATTACTGCTGTGGCAAAGGGGCTCCGTCTCACAAGGGGCACTCTAAGGAGCCGTGTAGAATGTCCCCCAGGCTGGAGGCTGGGGACTCCCCACTGACTCAAACCCCCACTGGTGAGGGTTGCCCCTAAGGGTGTTAACTTTCCTACATCAGGGTCAGGAGGCTGCTGGGGAAATTCTGGAGGAATTTCTGTGCTCAGGTGAGTTTCTGGCCATGTGCAGGTGCTGTCTCCATAGCTGCATTGAAGCCAAATGGGACACGGGGATATGGCATGGGCACAACAAGCATTGCCACAGGAAGTCAAGGCTCTGGGATGTGGGGACAGAAGACACGCATTAGGTCCTGGGCCTTATACTTCTTAGGCTGACTTATTCAATCAGAAGTAAACCATAGGCTGTGAGCATCAATTTATCAGGGAGAGAGAGAGAGAGAGAGAGAAGAGCCCCAGCCTTATTCATGCCACAGGACTGTTGCTAGGATCCAGTAGGATAATGTGAGGAGCTATGAAGTGTTGGGCAAATGCTATTCATTATGTTGACCACTTAAGGTCCCTTCTGGGACTCCATTATTTACTCTGAGTCTGTGAGCATGGAACACTGTGAGGCTGCGAAGGTTACTGATGAAGACTCAACCCCACCCCCTGACAGCTTCTCTGAGTGCCTGAGTAGCAGGGCAGATGTGGCATTGGTTTCATCTGCTTTGCACAGCATTCATTCCCTCTCCACTCTGTCATTCGCAGTAGGCCTGTGCCATTAGCAGGACCCTTTCAAATTGCCTTTAAGCTCAGGGTCTCTAACAGGACAGGCAGCTGCAAGCCCCACTCCCCCCATTCAGGTAACATGCTGGCCCTTCTGGAGTTCTGTCTTAGAACCTCTTTCCCAGCAATTTACAGTAAAAATAAGGAGTCATCCATCCTAACATCTGTTGCAAGCTTACCATGTGCCAGGCACTATACTAAGTGCTTTATATACCATGTGTCATCTAATCTCATAATTATATATGGTATGTATGTAATATATAATGATTATCCCAGATTCATAGGAGAAATGGGAGCTAATCTAGATTAAATAACTTGCCTAAAGGCTCAGCAGTAAGTGGTGGTGACAATAAATGAGTCCAGGCCTGATCCCAGAGCCAGAGTCCTGAAGCAATGGGTGATATTCCACCCAGAAATCAGATCATCACCCACTTTATTTCTTCCGTAGGAAAATAGTAATAGACTCTGACCCATCACTTCTCCAAAGGACCTTTTAATTTGTTTCTTTTCTCTCTTCTTTTTAAAGTGCAACCCCCCCCCCCGTATTGATTTATTTCTACTCTTCCTCTTGGTGACCTATAAAAGTCTCTTCTAAATGCAATTCTAATGTTGAGAACGCAGAAGGGCAGGTACGATATTTCACCCTGAAGCTACTGTCATTTTAATTACCTGGCACATCCACAGAAAAATGTCCCGGAGACACTTCCTTATCTTTTCCTTGGTGGTAACATAGCTGGATCATTTTAAGGGTTGAAACCTCTGAATCAGGAATGTTGTTTAGGTTGTGTCATACTACAGGGATTAGTGCATTTACTGAACCACCTCAATTTGCTCTAATTAAAAATAGCTTTTTAATTGGTTAAAAAAAGATCTTGCTGAGAATTGTTTCTTTAAAACTAGGAAAGGCAGGGTGGGGTCAGGTCGGTTTCTATTGACTAACTACAGCTAACTATTCAAACCACATGAGTCCCAGCCCAACTGCTGAGATTGCACAGATTGGCCAAGTAGATAGATAATATGCAAGATTGTGGGGGGGGGGGGGGGGGGGTGAGGAGGGGAGGAGTTGATGCTACTCCAAGCATTTGCTCAACTCAGAGTGGAATGATTTTCAGAAACACCCGCTTGGGCTCTGATAACGTTGGCCTACTCTATTCCATGAACAGTGGTGACATTTTGTGCTGAAATAGATGTAATACCTTTTAAAGAGGAACTAGTCTTAATAGGGTCCTTTGTATCTCAGAAAGTGAATTACATCATGACATATTTGGTGAACTGCCAATCAAGTCACGCATTGATTTAGAGAATGCTCTAAGTGTGTGCTCACTTGGGCTGTACATTGATAATACATGGTACGATGCTGACTGTTACTAGAATTACAATCCCAGTACTGATAGAGCGATGACATTGTCCTTATTTCTTGCCCACTCCATCTTCCCTTCCCTTCCAAGCTGCCCCCATCAGAGGCGGAGTGGTCACACAGTAGACTTAACGTTGTCACACAACTGAAACGCCACGTTGGAAGTTTTAGTCAGAAATCACATAGGCAGGAATGAGATAGCAGCTGCGAGGCAACTATTTCTGATTTCCCAGACCTCCCCCCCGCCCCCCCGATGTTTTCCTCTCTGTGTGTGCACGACATTTCATCATGTGGCACACTACATGTCTGTGTCAGGCCTTTCCCTAAACAGGACTGCTGGTGTGTGATGATAAATAGTGCCATGATCTTCAGTGATTCCCACCCCTCCACATGTTGGCAAAGGTCGCCTAGCAACTGTTGTTAGGGGCAACACCAGCATGTTTAGTTTAATTCAGTGTAACAGGACAGTTTGGGTCTCCTGGTTGAGGTTCAAGTTTATTCCCTGGAGATTAAGCCCCCCTGCCCCCCACAAGTCCACACCAGTTATAACCCTCCTTGCACTTGCATAAGGTTTCACCATTATTATTAAATTTGCCCATTTAACAGGATCCAAAGGGTCATTCTGAGCATATCACACCTTCCACACAGGCGATAGGAAAGGGTTCCTATCTGGCTGTTACAAGGAGGTCACAGCTTGGCCTCATTCCCTTCCCTGCTTAATATTCACAACACTAACTTCAAATGGTTTCTAAACTATGAAGCCTGGTATAAAAATAAAAAGTAAAAAGATGAGAAAAAACTATTTTATTAAGCCCCTGCTGGGATAGTTTTCTCTTTAATGGACAAAATCCCGGCACAATTTTGCATTCAGATACATCAACCCACCAGTGGAATCACACCGAAAATGTCTGTGCGTGTGGATTACACCACCCCCTGCTGACTGATCCTCTTAACAGCTCAGCACTTTGCACATGAAGAGGCAGTTCCCCCAATCCTGTTGGCAATTAATTCAGTCCACCTAGGCTTCTGCTGCTTAATGAGAGTAGAAAATCTCCCACCAGAATGTAGGACTTTCCAGGTGATCATAAAACAGCCCATATTAAAAATAGCCTATAATAAAATAGCCAGCTAATGTAAAATTTAATTCCATGTCACCATATTTATAAAAAAGCCAGTCAGTCTCCATTCAGAGAAAAAAAGAATGCATTCTAAAAAGCTCGACTTTGATGTAAGTTCTTTATATTAAACCACGCAATAGTGAAGCAGTTGGAACTATCTGAAACTGTTATTTAAAATAGCTACTAGAACCTCTTTGCTATTGTCAGCATTTTGAGTATAACCTTGTATTCAGTTGAGGCTGATTATTCAATAATAATTAAGATTCCTATTTAGCATAAAAGAGATTTCAATAATGAGTTTATTTTTAATTATTGGTTTAAAAAAGGCTTCCATTCTTAAAGAGCAGAAGTACAGAAATGGCAATGATTTGAAGGACACCATGAATTGAGATACTTGTGTTCAGAGTTTATATAATTTACATTCAAATTATTTACTAGCCAGCATGGATTTTCACAGTGATTCTAATCCCCTTCTACAGAGTATTGGAGGGGAATTTATTTTTCCCCTTTAAAAAAGCCACTGAGCATTAAACAGAGGTGATGTCAGGAACAGAGATGACAAAATAAAATAAGAGTAAGCAGCAGCAGAACTGTCACTCATGTGCATCGCTGTCTGGAAGGTTGGGAAGATGGTTTCCTGAGTGCTCCACGACCATATAGGAAGAGCAAAGCCACAGTCAGGCTATCTTTCATTTTCCTAAGCTTGTGTCACCACCAAGCTGCTTTCATGGGAATGCCAAGCACACAGGGCAGAGGGCACTGCTGTTGCTGACGGTGCTGGTGGAGGACAGTCTGACTGCAGAAGTGACTGTGGGAGAACTTGTCACTGTTATCTCTGCTCTGTGACCTGAAGCATGTGTACCTCTCCTCACAGGCTAAGCACTCAATCCTAGGAAACTGAAACTCCTTCAGGTTTGGGACCTAAGAAATGTGGAAAAAATCACCATTTCAAAAGCAAAAGGAATTAGATTATGTTGAAAAAAATGTGAAAACTCCACTGACAGGATATTAATGACCATCTGGAGTCATGGACAAGAGAGAGGAGAACATTGCACATTTAACTATATTCCCCAAGTGTTTTTCCCCAATATGGTAGCATGTAGTCAGATACAGCCAGTACACCTCAAAGTCAGACGCTAACTAAAACATCAAACACATTTCTCAAATTAATTTTATTCCCACAAATCTCTAAGGGGCAGCATTTCTATATTAGGTTTTGCAGATATTTCTTACACGTCGTTGCTCAGGATGTTGAAGAAATTCAGTGATAGATAGCCCAAAGGTATAGGTAGTATATTAATGGTAATAGAAAAATGACAAAAGTCCAATAAAGAAATACAAAGGATAACTTCTGTGCTCACATACTCTTTGTGAGGATTTAAAGTATAACCTGCGGCTCTAGCACATGACCTCTGAACAAAATTATAAAGTAAAACAAGGATAAGGAGGCAATAAATGCCAAATTAAGTCATGATAGATGGGATGCAAGGGGGACCCTGTCCTTTGTGAAATAATGTGAAAGAAGCAACTGATACTCCACGCTCTTCATGGGGAGGTCAGCCAGGGGGTAAAGAGTAAAAGGGACACTGCTGGTCAGAATGTAAAGTGGTGCCGTTGCTATAGGAAACAATATGGCAGTTCCTCAAAAAATTCTTAATAGGACTCCCATAAGCTCCAGCAAGTCCACTTTTGGATATACACCCAAAAGAATCGAAAGCAAGGACTTGGACAGATATTTGCACACTCGTATTCCAAAAAGCATTATTCACAACAGTCAAAAGGTGGAAGCAACTTAAGTGTTCCTTGATGAATGAGTGGATAAAACCAATGTGGTCTATACACACAATGGAATATTATTCAGTTTTACAAAGGAAGGTAATTCTGATACATGCTACAAAATAGGTGGCCCTTGAAGAAATTATGTTAAGTGAAATAAACCAGTCACTCAAGGTCTAATACTATGTAATCCCACCTGAATGATGCATCTAGAGTGGCCAAATCCATACAGACAGAAAGTAGAACGGTGATTGCCAGGGGGAGGGGAAATATGGAGTTATTATAATAGGCATGGCATGTCAGTTTGGGAAGATGAAAAAAGTTCTAGAGATGGATGGTGGTAATAGTTGCACAACAATGTGAATGTACTTAATGCCACTAAACTAAACTCTTAAAAATGGTTAAAGTGGTAAGTTTTATGTTATGAGCATTTACCACAATTTTTTATTTTTTTTCTTTATTCATTAATGTATTACATATGTGTCCTTATCCCCCCCCCATTGCCCTCCACCCCC